GCTTCACCATTGCTCTGGTCATTGTTATTCTTTGTCGGTGTGTGAGAGGGAGATACAGAGGCATGGGGTTTGAAGTTTCAGCCAAGGAACGAGAATTGGGGGAACGGGTCTTATTATACATGGGAAACGTTATGCCTCGTTATCGAGCCTCCCGCGTGAAGCCTACGTGGCATTCCACGTGGAGTCCATAGGACCTACCAATACTCTCTTGCAACCAAAGCACTTTTCACCGAAGTGGTGATGCTCAACGAGGTTAAATTAGAAACTCTACCACGACGGGTGACGACCTACCTTTGAAGATCCTGAATTCATGAAATCTTGTTTAAATGATTGATATGACTCCTCTAATGAGTAACATATCGAAATCTTGTCAACATAGGTTGTAAGATGGTTGTCTCTTTTTAAGATCATTTAATGTACTATAGGTTAGTTGGGTTAAAATTGATACCTAGGATAAGATGCTTCGATTAAGGATATGTGGCCACATGTTCCCCTATCCAATGAATTTCATTTCACATGTAACATCTCCTAGTGTCATTTCCTAGTGTCATTTGAGGGTAATGCAAATACATCCACTGTAAGTTATATATTATTTCCTCTTGAGTTAAATCTTTTGTTGATAAAGTTGGATGTTTGATCTTGGCTTTTAGTTTAGTTTTTGTTGATTGTTCCTTATCATACGATTCCGTTCATATCTTGCCGACACCCGAACATTTTTGTCTCGTGTTAGAAAGCTTCTCCACATTCAAACTCGAAATATCGTCGACTAGTAATTTGTCCAAACATGGTGGAATTAGCTTGCGTGGATGCAAGTGGGCCCAATATCTGTTGTTCACGCCAACGGTATAAAAAATGAGGTTGACAGGAAATGTGTAAGTAATTTCATCTATTGAGAACTTTTGTGCTTGTTTGGTTGTGTGTACAAGTAAAGTCTAAAAACTGTTTGGATAAAAAGTATATTTGATCTAAAAGAGAAATTGTGTGCTTTTTAACTTTTTACATTAAACAATGGTTTACTTAAATGGAAAATTGGAGGTCGGAATTGACCCGACCTTGCCCGGGTTGGTAAAATGTTTCTGTTCCATCTTGCTCCTTGTTGTCGTGTCTCGTATTAGTCGGGGAATTGGGGCATGGTTTGAGCCCCAACTCTTATCTTTCATTTTTTTCTTGTTTTGTATATCTTCTAAATTAAATTGTATTTAAAAACAATATATTTAAAAAAATAAGTAAATGGAAAAATTGGGCAAGGGCGTCATCCTGGCTCTGATCCACAGTGTTGTCATATTTAGCCTTGAAATTGTACTATATTGTAAAACTAATCATCGGATTAAGATGTTAAAGTTATATTGCACAATAATAAAGTATTTGATCAAGTAAAAGAATAATAAAGATAAGAATATAGGAGAGGAATGGAGAGATTTTATTGACTTAAGAATAATGGAGAAGTGAGAAAATTACAATGGATCTCATAATTCTAGTAATCTATTTTCTCACACTTATAAAATTATATAGAAAAGTTTAATATCTATAGGGAACATTTAGTTGACGTCCAAACCCTTTTAGTAGAGTTGATGAAGTATAATGCCAAAAAATCGAGTCCAAAACGAATTAGGAGAGAAAACAGCGAGAAACCAGAATAGCACAAGTGGCGTCGCGGCGCCCATGCCTGGCGCTGGGCAATCAGCCCCAAAATTTTTTTTTTTTGCTCAAATTGTTTTCTCCATCCTAAATTCTTCTTCAAATCCAAATACCGATTTTCAACTCACAATGGGCTTTCAAAACAGAACTTCAACTTAATATAGGACTCCAATAGCATTCCAAACTTAAATTCTCCTTGACGTGTACTTCAATTAAAATTCTTCAATACTTCAAACACTTCAACAAAGGAATTCGGGTCATATCCAAATTCTAACATCCTATCCATTTTTTAGGTTTGTCGGACTATTGCAGCTAATATAGATGTCATTCGAGCAAGTGATCATCACAATTGGACCATGGCCAAATGTTAGACTTCACGATTTAAGGAATGATTGTGATAACTGAGTGATGCTATATTGTCGAAGATTTCTAACTATTTTCACTTAGCCTAAGTTTTGGCTCATGTTTGCTAACACTCAAATCACTTTTATTCACATATTTCGAAAGATTCATAATATTACCCATTTATACACAACTTATTTTTATATATTCACAATTTACTCCGTTTACAAATAGTTCCCAAACATGTTTTTAGACGTGAAGAAATGTTTATCGGCAATTAATTGCTGAAATCATTTTCATGAATCAAGCTAATTTAGGAAACAAATGGGGTCTGAATACAAGTCACCAACGGCCTTCAATTGTAAGTGTTTACTTTTATCATATTATTTCTGTTTATGTACTCCAGAATACGTACATGAATTATTTTATAGTACTTTGTCCATTACATAAGATTAACAAATTACTGTAAGAACGTAAAACCTTGAGGTTTAGAGAGGAATAGAATTCGATAGAAAATTGTCTGTATGTAAAATAACAAGGCCAAATAATGCTTTATTACAACGTGGTTTGACAGCCTAATCATACTTATAAATGTATATAAGAGCTCTGCATGCATACATTAGGGTTTTGAAATATAAAATGTTAAGTTGTGGAGTTTAATTATTTTTGCTAAGTGGAACGACCTTCGCAATAAGGTCACCTTAAGTGTTTGAGGGAATAGGAAGCCCTGACCAAAATTTCACATTTGTAATTTCAATTTTCTCCTAATCTTTTCTATAAATATGGAGTCGTCATTGAGATTTATTTTAATAATTATCAGGAGAGATATAGAGGTAATAAAAACATGGTGTACGATTTTTTCTTTTAAAGTTTTTTTTTAACCATAGTAAATTATTACAATAATGGAAGATGACGTAGTATCACATTAAGGTGAACCTCTATAAATCTTTTATATTCTTGTGTGTCTATTTTTTTCTGTGATTTTACTGCTCTCGATGGTATAGATTTGAAGTTGAAGATATGTATTTGGATTAGTAGGTAATAATAATCATAGAAGGTTGTAATTGAAAGAAAGAATTGGTCCTTACTTTTTGAGTACCGAGATTTTTACCAATCTTTCTACACGCATTTTAGAAGAGAGAGAAACTAAGGGGCTGTTATTAGTGGTGGCAATCGAGCCGAGTGGTTCGTCGGCTCGGCCGCTCGGCTCGTACTGTAGCGGCCCACGAGNGAGCCCGAGCCGAGTAGCTTGGCTCGACTCGCTACAGTATGAGCTCGTGGGCCGAGCCGAGCTCGCCCACCAGCAAACGAGCCGAGCACAAGCTCGGCTCGTTTTATAACGAGCCACGAGCTCGAGCTCGTGGGCAACGAGCCGAGCCAGCTCGGCTCAGCTCATTTGCCACCACTAGCTGTTATCTTTGCCGTTTTCAGTTCGTTTTCTGTTTTCGATTTTTCAAACAGTGAAAATATGTTTACTTACTTATTTTCAAAAACGAATTTTCGAAAACGAATTTAAAATTTACAAAAAAAATCGAAAACGACAAAAACGTCATTTTGGGTGTTTTCCGTTAAAATTAAGTCAAAATTTTCAAAACGCGTTTTTAGTTTCAGTTTAACATCACCCCAAGTACCACACCGCCGCCTGCACCACACCACCACCGCAACCACCACCACAACATCATCTCAACCACCACCATCGCCATCGGCACCACCATCACACCACCGCCACACCTAAAAATCACTGCCATAGCCATGTACCCAAACACCACTGCCACTGCCACAGCTACAACCTACACCACACCATCGTCACACACCACGCACCCAAAATCACTGCACACGACTGCTATAGCCATAGCAAACCACTGCCACAATCAAAGAGAGAGAGAGAGAGAGAGCCGTCGGCGATCACAACCACAACCAACCATCGTCACATACCATCGCACATCACGCACCGATCGCAGCCACCGTCACCGTCGTCGACAGAGAGGAGAGAGAGAGAGAGAGAGAGAGAAGACAGAGAGAGGGGAAGAAAGAGAACATGTTTTTCAATTTTTGATTTTTGAAAATAATTTTTCAAAATGACAAAAAGAATACATTTTCAACAATTTGAAAATGGATACTCAAAACACAAAACCCAAAATGAATTCAAAATTCAAAACAAAAAATTAAAATACGAAGAGAACAACACATAATCTTCTTATTCGTATGGAATAAATTATGGTGAAACGGACACTTAAAGACCACAATGCATCAAAATTGATCCAGAGAACAAAGTTCACTAGTAAATATTATATGATAAGTGTTGGACAAATTGTTGTCAAACTATCTACCGGACGATGATGTAATTCGGTATAATTTTTTAAGTCGCATTGACCAATTGATTGAATTAAAAGTCGACACCTCAATGAAACGACCGACCCTAAAACCGTTTGGGTCATTGGAAGCAGCCTAATTTAATTAGTGTCACTCATGACCCATTTCCCTACTTCTTGGACAGCTTATAAGTGATGGCCCACTTAGTGATGTACTTAACCCATTTATCTCTCTTATTGGGCTTGGCCCATCACTGTACCTTAGTGTGAACTATATAAGGCTGCCTCCTCTGTCCTTTTGCTTGATCGTGTGTGTGTTATTGCTATTCCTTTTTCTCTTGGTGAATTCGGCCCCTGCTTCGTGCTTCTCTTCACTGCCTTTTTCATCTTCCTCCTTCGCCTGTGTGGTTGCCTTCGTGGTTGCAATAACCACCTTATTGTGTGTCCTAAGTGGGTAACATCAAGCAACCGATGTTGGGGATTGTTTGGTTCGGTTTTTTGGGTTGGCTTTGTTGAGGTGATTGATTGTTGGATTCAATATTGAGCCGGAAAACACCATTGGTGATCAAGACTTCCGCTACAATAAGTATAAACTTCATTCAAAATTTCTTCAATTTCCTTGCAAAATATTATACAAGGGATTTATTATAATGCACTAGAATTTTTACATCACATGTAAGGTATAAAACGATCATTTTAGATTGATTATTAGAACTTGTTCACCCTTATGTGTAACCCCTTTGGCGCTTCAACTCTTGGGAATTGTACAATCTTTTGTCCTTCAATTTCTTCCCATCTGTATCCAAAACAATTTCATTAAGTTAGAAAAATCAAGAAAATATTCAAACTGAATTTAAAACTATGATGACCACTAAACTTAAAATATTTGTTAAAATAACGAAAAGCTGATGTGACAGTTCAATACGAAGATAACTATATTGTGTCGTGTTCTTTCTTGAATATAAATATAGTGATCAAATTGTAATAACTCGAGGGGAAATTTATATGTTTAAATATTACCTGTACGTGGTCACAAAGTAGTGAAGGAAAGTAGATATTGTGACTATTCCCAATTCTTTTCCAGGGCAAATCCGGCCTCCTCCTCCAAATATCAAGAAATATTTATGCCCCTCTAAGCTCTTATTATCCTACATTACTCAAATATAAATAAAAAATATCATTAATTTACAAATTGTAAGACGGGATCAGCGTGTAAGCTTAGAAGTGTCAGGGTCATATGGTCGGACCATAAGTGCTAAGAAAAATTTTCCTCAGAAATTGTCGAAATTAAGAAGGCGTTAAATTTTGTAAAGGAAAGAAAATAACATATGATCTCTTCTTGTTGTATGTCTAAAGGAACAAATTAGGTTAGATATTGTTTATGTTAACTATAAATTGACACGGTTTACTCTCTTTTGTGTACATGATTGTAGATTTTTGAGAGGAAAATTGTAAGCCTAGTATTCTGATATGGCTTGTTCAAAGAGTAGAAATTGTTGGGGTGTTGTAAAACTTAGGATATTATGAACATACAAATTTACTGTGGAAAGTTTTGATAATTCAAATAAGGGAAAAATTCATAAGTAAGAGGATAAGTATCTCATATTTTAAAATTAAGAAAACAAGTTTGGAATTTAAAAAATCACATTTTTATTAAAATTTATTATGCTTTAATTAATTAATTATATATTTAATTAAT